TGTGTAGATCCATGAGATTAATCTTGTCCGCCATGTTCTTAAGACCTTGTTTTGAAACTTGGTCATTTTCTGATAGTCTACACTTGTTTAGACTTGTTACGTGAATGGAATTTTTGTATGCTCTTTTGCCACCATTGTGAAATCGGGGGAATTTTTGTATGCTCTTTTGCCACCATTGTGAAATCAGGGGAGTTGCAAAGATCTTTTGTTATTGATCTTGTCAGTCTCTACAGCATAGCTGGTGGAGAATTTGTTTTGTTTGTCACATGACCAGTGGAAGATGGGCAACCCTCTACTTTGCAAGAGATTCAAGGCTATTTTAGCAATGTTGTGTGTTTTTCTAGATGCGTTTTAGGAGCTGGATTACTTGGTAATTCCGTTGCTCCTTATCTTTCTGAAAGTCTTATAGTGAAATTTCACTTTTATCCATTTGGAGCTTCGTGGTCTTTTCATGTGGCTCACTTTTCCATATTGGTTAATCAAGAGCAGTGATTATTCCATTGTAATTGCCTTATTTTTGTGAAGATTGGCAAGTTGTCATAACTCTCTATTGTTGCCAGTCTCTACATTCTTGATACCTGGAACTGCTTGAAACTCTTGAAATCCATCTTGAATCTTTCTTGATATTGCTTTGTACTTGTTCTTGAAACTGAAATCCAGAAATGGATAATGATTATTGAAATCCTCATTATCTTGATTTTTGTCTGGAATTAATTCTTGCATTGTTCTTGGAATCTAGTTTGAGTTGTCCTTGGAAACGTTCTTGTTCTGACTCTGCTCTTGTTCAAATTTTGTATACTGCTCTTGCTTGAATCTTGAATATTTTGTTAGTTCTTGTTTCAGTATACCTATTGATCTTCTTGATTTTGATTTTTGTTCATATGGACACCTCTTTAGGAGGGGTGATGATCATTAGGAAATACCTATGTGAGGCATCCTAATTCTTGTCTCTTGCAAGTGTTAATCTCTGTATTCTTGATGTCTTAGCTTTGACTTGACTCTAGGATGTCTAGGCTAAGCAGATTATAGCCTCCATGAGCTACGAGGTGAAGGGGTAATCTTTGAAGTACTTGATGCCCTAGAGTTTTGTTCCAAGAGAAATGGTTCTTTGTCTAGCTGCCTTGATTTTTGTTTGCCCTTTTAATTGGAAGACAGTAATCTTCTAAGCATCTTGATCCCAGCCATTGCTTTGTTCTATTAATTAATTCTAGTACTTAAGGTGCTAGATTTTGACATCCTGATTATATCTGCTCTTGAATTCTTGTTCTCATTGTCATTATTGAAATCTCTTTTGTGGGCCTAATTTTTGGAATTCTATTGCTTATTTCATGGTTAACTCTTGTCTCTCAATTTTGATTGCTTGGTTAAATTTGATCTTGATTCTTGGTGAATGCCGTTTTGTTGTGGAATTTTTGAGGCATTCTACCTTGCACTCTTGTGTTCCAATATTTTTCCAAGCATTCATATTTTCCATTGATTTTATTCTGTTGCCATTCTTGAGATCCTTATACGTCTTTTGATGGGTCTAGCTTTTAACTCTTGTTAATTGCTAAAATTTGTTTCTTGATTCCAATTGCTTTGTTAAACATGACCTTGCTTATTGGTTAATCTTGTTTTGTGGCAAAATTTGTAAGGCATCCATGCACTTGTTCATTCATTTATGATTCGTATATCCATTGGATGCCTATCCGTCTTTGATAAGAGTTCAAAGTTTTGTTGTACTCGTGTTTAAATCCATGCCATTCTTTGCCAACTCGTCTTGTGATGGGTTCGTAGCGTAACCCCACAATTGTTCTTTTGTGGCTTTGGCAGGATTTATTTTTTATTCGTTGTGCTTCCCATGTCACCCCAGCCTCTAGTAGCTCATTTCATGGTAAACCCTGTTAAGTAATTAATGTTCTGCTTTTAAGATTAGTCGTGATTTGTTTTCAGAGTAGCGCAGCGGAAGCGTAATAGGTCGTGTTCTGTTCCTAGAAAGTGATGAGGCAATTGTTTTGTCTCGGATTGTGTGAAGCCATTCACCACTTGATATGGTCCTCAATTTGAGTTTTGGGGACAAAACTCCTTTTTAGGAGGGGTGAATGTAATATCCCAAATTTTCGGGAATTTTAGCATTTAATTAAGGACTTGATTGTGAGAAAAGATTGTTTTGGGGCCTAATGGTAAAATTTTCAAAA